ATAGTTCTTCAAGAGAGCGTTGTCGCCTTTCTTGAAGAACAAGGTCACCGCACATCTGCTCCACGCCTCTGAAGTTGTGCCACCATGGAGGACGGAATTAAAGACTTGCTCTTGGATCGTTACTCACACTATCGTGTGTCACTCAAAATCTTTTTCTTTTATAGAATAAGGGTGACAAACAAGCACACAGTCCAACTGATGGTAAGTAGATTCTGTGACCCAAAGAAATCTACATTTATCCTCATTTAAAAATCAAAGTGCAGATGCACCGCCACCCCTAGGACCCCTGGACTAATGAAATGCCTCGTTTCCAGTAAAAAGGGTCTCCGGTCCTCTACACTCACCACACGAAACACAGCAGCATTGAGTTGCTACTTTACGCTGGTATTTTGTGAGAGCGTGGTCCTACCCCGGTCGAGCCGACCCTTCGTGCTGCAACCGTAATATAGCTACAGCATGGATCTACCACGTAAAAAATTCTCAAGTGTCCCGGAAACTCGGTCTTCAGCTCGAGAGCTGGCTCTTTCTGGCAGACAGATCTCTAGCAAAGACTTAAGAGCCCTGGTTCCGCTCGATCGCTTCTTTAATACGAGCAGTGTTAAAGTTGCGAAGTCCCTCCGAGAGAGAGAGAGAGAGAGAGAGAGAGACAGACAGACAGACACACACACACACGCGCGCGCACACGCGCACGCACACACACACACACACACACACACACACACACACACGCACACACGCACGCACACACGCACGCACACACACAGATATGTAATATAAATTTCATTTCTGATAATTATTAATTGTATAGTCAGACAGTATTGTTGTGTAATATTCTTCGTTTTTGCTTATTGCCTGTATTTATGTTAAAACTTATTTTTAAGATAACTTTTAAAAATCTAAGAACTATATAATTAATATCATTAATTTCTCAATTAACAAGCGATTGTATATATATAATGTATATAAAGTAAGAACCTGTAATTGGCATTAAAGATTATCTGTTTACATTTATAACGTGCTGTTGGTTCTATGAACAATAAAGAAAAAAGAATAAAATCCCGCTAAATTTCCATACCTTCAGCTCACCGTTCTCTCTTGAGCCTAGTTTTGCCAAGTCTCCCATTAACGCCGTATAGTGGGTTTTGGAGAAATGCATGGCTCTGGATATATCCTCATACATTTCCTCCACCTCCAAATTGAGATGTGCCGAGTTTGGTACGTAAACCTATATGCATTTCAGCGAATACTGTTTGGTGATTCTGAGTATAAGGTACGCAGCCCTCGTCGACACACTCCCAATCTTTACAACGTTGTTAACGAGAGACCTGTGGACGATAAATCTGACACCTCCTTGGAACAGATGGTCGCCCTCCCGGTGATAGAGCAAGTTGCAGGATTTGAGGATTACCGTCTCCTCCCCCTCTCTTCGGACTTCGGATAATCCTATAATGTGCCAGCGCAACTTGTCTATCTGTTCTTCCAGCCGCCGTATCTTCTCGTCAGTCCTCAGGGTGCGAGCGTTATATGTTGCCAGGTCCAGTCGTCTTAGGTGTCAACCGAACCTCCACCGGAGATTCTTAGCACTCCCTGCCCCACCGTTACCATAGTCGCCACCGTAGCCAGGAATAGCGGGGCCGTCGGGGACTGAGGGCCGTCTCTTCGTAGATTTAATCATGGGGGATATATTGCCATAGTTGCCACGCTTGGCGAGCAGGTTGGCAACCGCAGTTTTTTTTATTGTTTTTTTGCTATTATCAGAAAGATGCTGCTGCCAATCTTCTGCCTCAGTTTCCTTCTGTCGCCTCTTAAGACTCGCACGGGAAGATATGGGGTAGTGGGTATTCTTACCCGCTACTACACGGAACCTGGTTTAGTGGTCGTAAAGCTGGTTGCTGATCATAAGTTATCCTGACCTGGGATTCGTACCCAGGAACAGTTTGCGGTGTTTCACCCACGTGCCTTGGAAAGCAGGTAAAACCGTAGGTCTAGCGTCTGATCTCTCTCCGGTTGTTCCGGATTACCGCTTAAATGGCTAGTCCCCGTTGAGATTGGCTGCTGTGAACGAAACTGTGTCTGGGGGACATTATTATTATAGTGCGGTACGCTTTTGTGTTGCTGATAATGATTGATTGCGTAAGGGAGCAAGTCTTTATAAATAACCGAATATATTTGTAACATCAGAAGTGGAATAAACTTCTAACATAATATATAATTTGACGTCGTAAATTTGGGCAAATTTATGACTAAAAATTTACAACGTATTGCGTTACAAGTACAAAAAGAATGCTAAATAAAATGTTACATAAAATTAGGGTAGCCGTTATAATCCTACAACAATTTTATACATTATGTATACCACTAAATAAAACAGAAGGAACATTTTATTGTCCGACATGTTTTCCAATAAAACATGAACACAGAGCATGTGCAAAACAAAGAAATTTGGTTTCTGTGAAAGTAAATTTTATCACGCACGGTTTCCTTACCTTTATTGCTTTTTCGAGAAGCCGTAAAGCAAAAAATAAATCAGACAGTATTTTTTTCAATCGGAAATATGGACATTGATAATAGTTGTTATTCTAACCAACAATACACCAACACAGACTTAAATTTATTAATATATCTACCTCGCACAATATTCATATCGATTAGAAGAACTGTTTCTCATCGATATTATTATATAATGTATTCTTACAAAAGTGCCGGAATCTCAAAGAATCGTTTATTAATTAAATTTGATGGCCTAGAAGCCATAGCATATTATTCAAGTGAATCGAAAGCAGGCACTTGATATTTAGGATAATTTAATGATGAACGCAATATCCACTCCACACGACGGACCTGGGCCCGATGAAATTTTAAGCATTGTCGTTTAGTGAAGTACTGCACATTGTTGTAGGACGCTCAGTTTTTAGGCGCTAGTTTTGCATTGAATTCTATAATATTTATCAACTATTCTCAAGTTGATTCTAAGACAAAAAGATACTAAGAAATGCTTTATCACCTGCATTTCAGAGAAATCAGCTTGCGGTGTCGCTCCATTCTAATGTTGATTTAGGAAATATAACTGCGTATTATATAATATATAAGTTTTATTTCGGATTATTCTGAATCACCCTTAAATTCGGATATCTGACGTATACATGACGTAATTTTTTTTTATTTACGTTAATAAATCCTATTTAAAAACTTATATTACTTTTCCTACATACGTTGCTTCTATGTACATAGTTAAAAAACATTTATGTCCAGTTAAAAGTAATTGTAAAATTATGTCAAATAACAAAAGGTTACCTGAAAATTAATTCATAGAAATCATAGAACTCCTAAATGTACTAAATACTGTGTATACTAAAATTTGTAAACCGTAACTGAAGAGGACAGTTTTAACGCTTATTGTGTGTTAAGTACGGTCTCAGTGCAGAGCGTTTGGCGGGAAGTGTGGCGTAATTCACTTTAGCGCTTATAACTTCATCATTCTTCACCATTACGGCCTTTCATAAGTCCAGTGCTGAAAATAAGCCTTACCCAAGGAATGTCTCAAATCACGGTCCTGAACCTTAACAATTGGGACACTATATTAGTAAAAAAGAGTACAGAAATAAAGTAAAGCTGCAGTCTATATATGTACGTCCCACAGTTGGGCACAGGCTTATTCTTATTTCTGAGAAGGGCAAGAAAATGTCCGTGGCGCTGCCTCAGTGCGTTTTCGCGGACTTTACATGACTTTTTTATTTTTTTATTTAAGATGATTTTACCTCACCAGCGAGCACGTGGTAAATCAACACTTTCAAATTACAACTACGGTTTCATGGTAATGGCTGGAATCGAAACCCGGGTCTCCCGCGTACTGTGAAACTTACAGTGAGCGCTTAGCGCCAAGCTTATATACCACGGCAACAAAAGAAAATACAATAAAATGGAAGAATATTTTTTGATATGTACGTCGGAAGCTCCATCGCACTGAAGGTTATTTTATTATAGGATTGACAAATATACCTGTTTCACTTACATATTGATTTATTAACTTTTTTCGCCTTACATGATCATCGGATTATAGACAACAACGAACGAAATAAATGAATTTGAGAAAAGTTATTAAAAACTAAAGGGAAGAACATACCCAATGACGTGTTAATTTTTTTCACACAATTATTTGGAGTTATAATGATGAACAACTATTTATTTCTAAAGGCATAAGTCTAAAGGCTAGATGAGGGAACACCCGACCATTTATTTTGCAGCCAGTCCTGAGCGTATATTCTCCTCGTTTTGTGGGATTTTATATACACTAATAATATAAAATATTGATTTTATGTCTAACAGAGGTGATGGATCTTATACGGTTGTTGTCTTTTGTTTTAGGTTTAGGATACTCAATCAAAAAGTGGTAAAACATTTTATGTACGTAATATTTTGCTGTCTCTCCCATGACTGACATAATATTGGTGGAACGCTTCTAGCTAAGAAGCGTTCCGCCAATAGAACGCTGATTATCTAAAAATAAGAGCGGGTACACATTGGGCGCTTTGAAACGCGCGATTTACTAACGCGCGTTTTGAGATCCAAAAGTCCCTATTGAAGTGTACACATGCAAGCGCGTGCTTCTGATCAAGCGCGCGTCGGACGCGCGCTCTCAGAATTTCGTTGGAACGCGCGTTGTGCGGGCGTCAGCTGCGCGCTTGTAGATACATGCACCGCCATTTTGCTGTACATTTGATCGCGCGCTTTCGTGTAGGGTGCACGTATATCATGGAGATCGAACACTTCGATACAGATTTAATTATCGACGAAATCCAAAAGCGTCCAGCTATATGGGACATGCAAAGTCCAGATTATAAAATAAAATATTAAAAAAACGTAATTGGGAGGAAATAGTTGAAATTTTTAGTAACTGTGAAGACAATTTGGAAAAGAAAAAACTGTTGGGTGACTATAATTATTTATTGATGTTTTCTATAATTATATCATGTTGTTTTGCTACTGTAATTTTCCCTCGTTCACAAAATAATTGGCAAATTTTTCTCTTGCTCTCTAGCACATAAGCTGCCTCGTGGTAAATTTTCTAAATGTATAGATTGTAGAGGTGAAACATAAAGTGTATCTTCATATCTGTAACCATCGCGCATTAGAACGTAATTATGTAGTACTGTGCAAGCTTTGATGATACTCTCCGCGAAATCTATGTTTACATCTATCGGTCTATGAAATATTCGCCATTTATTGCTCATTATTCCGAAAGTACATTCAATATAGCGCCTTGCTCTCGATAATCTGTAATTGAAAACTTTTTTTGTGTGTGTGAGTTGTGTTCCTCCATACGGCCGCATCACATTCGACATAATTCCAAATGCTTCATCGCCGACGAACACATGAGGCAATGGAGTTCTATCGATATTTGATATAGGCTTGGGGTTAGGAATATTTAACTTATTATTCACAATCCGTTTAAAAAATTCGGAATTTTTAAAAATAGCAGAATCACTGGTTTTGCCATAGGATCCGACATCAACGTATACAAAACAATAATTTGCATCACAAACTGCTAGTAACACTGATGAGAAGTATGTTTTATAATTTAAAAAAAGCGACCCTGTATGTTCTGGTTGTATTAGCTCAATATGTTTCCCGTCAAACGCACCAATACAATTTGGGAAGTTAGCGTATTTCTTAAAACCTTCGTCTACTTCTTTCCACTTTTCTATTGTCATTTCAGGCATAGATGTAAACTTCAATTTGCTCCATAGTACTTTACAAACTTGTTCCACTATCTTTATATTTGTCGATTTTCCAAGACGGTATCCGTAATGCAAATCAGCAAAAGAGCAGCCTGTGGCCAAGTATCTGTTAAAATAAAAATGGTTATTGTTTATGTTCAGGTGGTACACTTATGAAAAAATGGAAAAGCATTCGGGACAATTATCTTAGGGAGTCTAAGAGGCAAAAAAAGCTTCCATCTGGATCTGGATCTTCCAAACATACGCCATATGTGTATTACAGGAAATTACAATTTCTTGCGAATTCTACAGCATATAACGACACAGAGAGCAATTACCAATCTTCTGGCACAACTGGTTCAGATGTAGATAATATTATAGACAATGCAGACTTGATGCCACCTCCTAAAGATCAAATGGAAGGCCCAAGGAAAAGACAGAAAATAAATGCTGTAGATAAAATAGTCGACATTTTACAGAAAAGTTGAAATGCAAGGGAACAAAATGAAATGGGGCGACTAACTAAAGAAGACGATGATAAACTATGCTGTTTATCATTGTACAGTGAATTAAAAAAAGTGCCCGAAAATCGACGCTTAACTACAAAGATTGAATTACTCAGTGTCATTAAAGAAGCACAGAATTATCATCAATCATTACCACTAGAAACTAATCATCACCAATACACATGTTCTACACCAACATATTCTGGATATACTACTGCTAGACCCTCAACAACACAACAGTGGTCTACCACGCCGCCACCACCGCCGTCATCATGGTCACCGTCACGTTCAGCCTCCAGTCAAGATTCAGACAACTTAGATGTATTTGAATAAACAAATATACTTACCTTAACGTTATCACGAGTTTTTCTTCTGCGGAAATCGAATCTCTCAAAATCGTTGAATCACCAGTAATATCTACTTTAATAACATGGAGTAAGTCATCAAATGATTTTATGGACATTCTAAAATAATTAAAAAACTTAGGTTCATATTGCCTTAATTTTGGATACAATGTTACAAACATTCCATGCCATTCCATATCTCGTAATATTGGGTGCACCCAATATTCTCTTTGCCTCTGCCGTCGTCTTTTATAGCGACGGTATAGAAGCCACACACAAGCGATCACTTCGAAGTCCATTTCCGAACTGAACTAGTAGTATGGACACCTTGGTAACGCTCGTTAAGCGCCGTGATAAGCGCGCTGTATGTATGCTACAAGCGCGCGCCCAACGCAACGCCGAGCGCCCAATGTGTACCCGCTCTAAGATGCGTTTTTATTTCTGCTTTTCGAAAAAAGGTGTTTATCAGATAATAGTAGAATCTTAAAATTATATCACCTTGTAGTGACACTTGTATCTGCTACAATATATCGACCCGTGGTTGTCTTAAGATGCAACAGAGGGAAACAAACAAGACGACGGGCAGCAGTTTCTTCCTAATAACGGGGCGTCCATTAATTACGTGAGATGTTTAGGTCGAGGTGAATCTTATCTTACCCAATCTCACGTGTAGTAAAGGCATGGCCTCGGCAAACACAACGTATTTTTTTTTTCGCAAAAACAGTGTCAAATTTCGTGAAAATTGGATTAAATTAAGTAAAATATCTGTAATGTCGGAACACGGAAGGTGCTGAATGAAGGAGACGTGTGTTTGTGCAAGAACTTTAATTATACTGTCGCTATTCTATACTTAATACTTATATCATAAATGTATATTGTCGAAGGTAAAGGGGAGTCTACAGGGCACTACTTCTATCGACAAAAAAAATATAAAAAAAAGAATGATTACATTTTTTTTATAAACTTTAAAAATATTTTCTTTTACTTTGTCTTACAATTCAGGATACTTTTATTTAATTCACTTTTTTTTATTAACTTTATATATTTACTTTATTCTTCGGTAACTATTATTTATTTTTCATTTTACGGCATGGCATTAAATATCATTAATAATAATATTCATCAAATAATTGCGTCTTTTCTTTCACGTACACAGCTCGCGTATACATAATAAAGGAAATGGCCAATGTATATATGTACAATGTATATAGTCCTTTCCATGAATCTCATTTCACTTAATAAAAATAGTTACGTATTCATAACTTGTCATAAAAATTATACGTCTTTTGCAAGAAGAATTATGTTCTTTACATATACATATTTTAAGAATCGAGGGTCACAATTTAATCATATATCATAAATAAACTACTTAAATCCCTTAAATACTTTCCTAAAAGAATAATTTCAAAATGTTATAAATCTTATAATTTGCCGAGTTCATTCCATTTAACCAAAAATTTTATTATTTCATTTCATATTAAGATAAACATAACAAAGAGGTCTATGTTAAGCAATATAATCATTCTTATTATCATAACAAGATCAAAATACTAGTTGCAATCCCAGCCGCGTAAGCGATTTGAGACACCTTTGTTTTAATTACCAAAGTACGAATTTAGAAACGTTTGCAATTACATCGTATTATGATCACGTAATTTTAACATAAGTTGTAATAATAATAGTTGTAACAATGTTATTATTACATACGTATATGGATACTAGTAAAATGATAGTTTTAAATTTCTCATTTGTACGGAATTTTAGATAGTTACATTAATTTTACATCCATCACAAAATGCGTTAGTTTTTTTTTAAATTACAATTTCTAGAAGTAAGATATTTACTATATCGATTACAGAAAATAATTGAATAATCTCTGTAACACCTATCAACTTTACACAACAAAACATTAAAAATTTAAACATTCAAAAGAACACTTTTAGTTTTTAAGTAGGTTATTATATAACTTTAAGGTCACTGCTTTTATAAAAGAAAGGAAAAGCTAACACTTATTAATAATACCGAATTGTTTTTAACCCTTTTCTAATTGAATCTTACATTTAAATGAAATTTACTATATAAAAAAACATGTGATATAGAGATTAAGGAAATGTGTCAATGAGGACACGTTTTGCTCACTCAGTTCAATAGTTTAGCTTGATTTATTTTTTATTTTTACATTTGGTTAATTACTTCTAATATTTATTTTACTTCTTTATTAGATATTCTTTATTACATAATTTTACCATAACTTTCAAAATGTTTTATTATGAATACACTTAAAATGTATGAAAATTATAGTATTAAACACTTTTTAATTTACGTATCAAATATTTTACATTGCATTGTGTCATAATAAATTTTCATACATTATCAAGTATTTATAATTATAAATTTTATTTATCATTACTAGTCGTAAACGCATTATTATCTTTTTAAGATGTCATCACTCCTAAGGAATATGTTTATCTTATTTGAAACACAAATTTATGAATAAATAGGCTATTACACAAATATAAGCTTGTATAGTAAAATATATATTGTATTTGTTGTTTTAAGCATTTTTAGTATATAATAAAATAATTTTAGGTTTCATTGTCTATAATAAAAGAAAAAAAGCTATTACATTATGAAACTTATAATAATAACGGATCAATACTGTTTCGACTTGATTTTAAAAAGCGATATATAAACCAACTTTAGTTTAAAATTGTAAAATTTTTACATGAACGAAAAAAACATAAAATAAAATAGAAAATTTAAGGTTAAATTATTAATTTAAGGAAAAAATCTTGTAAATTCATATAAAATATACGCGAAATATATACGCGAAAATGTTTTTTTTTCATATTTAACTATTTATCTTTTTGTGTACATGTGGTTGTGTGTCTATAATTACTACATGTTTAATTTGTGAGTGTTAAATAATTGCCTGTATTTAATTAATATTAGTTGGCTGAAATGTGCGCCATATACTGTACTTTATTGTATAAATATTATATTTATACTCTACTCTGATTACGTTCGTATCTCTAATTTATTTCAACATATCCTTCCCTATTATTTTTTTTAATTATGTTGAATTTTAATATTTAAGTAACTGATTCTATATAACACTAAACAATCTTTTATAACTATTCATCATTTTTATAACGTAATTATTAATATTACTTATATAATATTATGTACCTATTACAATAATAATTTACATAATAATTTTATTTTATTTTAAGCCCTATTCTCTATATTATTGCGGTTATAGATAAAATATATTATTTGCTATATGATTATAACACGTGGATTATACCTAGTCAGGTCATAAATTCTGTCACATGTTTAATATAAAATAATTGAAACAATTTTATTCATTATGTAACCATTTATATACCAAAATGAACTCAACAAAACATAGATTCTTATGACACTAAACTTTATTCAAAATGACCTCCGTGATTTTGAATACAGGCCTTCAATCTGCGCGGCCAATCTATCGCAGCACGAACGAGGTTCATGTCAATATCGGCGGCTGCCTTAATCAAGGATCTCTTGAGTGACTCCAAATTGGGATGAGGCTTTGAGCACGCCTTTTCCTCCAAGTTTTGCCATATCTTGTAATCTAACGGATTCAAATCTGGACTGGAGGAGGGTCAGTCTTCGTGCCGGATGAAGTCGATTTCACGCGCCGCCAGCCAGTCTTGTGTGCTCTTCGCTCTATGAGCTAGCGCCGAATCTTGTTGGAATACCCAGTGCCTGTTATTGAATATGGTATGAGAAACAGGTTCCACAAGGTTCGTCAGGACTGTATTTTGATACACAACTGCATTCGTTTTTACACCTTTCTCACAAAAATGTACCTCTGTTAAGTCCCAATAAGAAACTCCCAACCATACCATGAGCGAGGATGGAAAATGACCTCGTTGGACACGCGGAATACTGTTGCTCGCTTCTTCACTACTGTACACTTTATCATTTTGTTTGTTGTAACTCTCTTTTACGGTAAAAATTTTTTCATCCGAAAAAAGAAATTCCCGATATTTTTTTCCCGCGTACCGCTTCAACAAAGCGCGGCATCTCTTCAGTCTCAGGTCCATTAGACGAGCATTCAAACGATGTCCTGTTTTTCTTCGATATGCCCGAAGCCCTAAGTCTTCATTTAACACCCTTTTCACCGTGGTTCTGCTTAACCCCATCTGAAGGGCCATCAGTTTCTGCTTACATTTGGGATTTCTTTGAATTCGCGCCTTCACAGCTTTTATCACTGCTGCAGTCCTAACAGACCGAGGGCGACCACTTCTTGAGCAGTCAACTACACTAGAGTCTTCATTGTATCGTTTGATGGTACGATAAACGAATCTTTTGGTTATATTCAAATTTTTCAATATGTCAAAAATTTGAATTGGCGCGTAACCGCAACGATGCAATGCAATAACTGCAACACGGTCTTCTTTAAGCCTCCACACTATATTTAAAAATGAGTAAAATTCTAAAAAGTAATCAGTTTTGTTTTCATGAACAATTCCAAATTCGAATTCAATAAACTTTTTTGTGGCTAGCATTCTAAAAGAAAAGTTTTTACTGTGTGACAATACTTATGACCTGATTAGGTATTAGGTATTTATTTAATTATACATGTAGTTATGTGGATCGATCCTATAGGTACTACATGTGCAACTAGTAGGTAGCATTTTGGGTAGCATCCTAGTAAAGAAATGCAAATAACTACCTATCTCACTTTATAGATTTGGTCGGGGATCCCCTTTAATATCTTGTAGGTATGTAACTCATTTTATTTTTCTCATGTCCTTTTATGATTTGAATTTTTCTCATTTTTTTGTACTTATTTTCATACCAGTACCGCTACTCCTATTTACTTTGTTTAAATTATTAGGCCTTAGGTTATACATATATGTATTTATATTTTCTTTTATAATTCTTGTATGTACATACTTTCTTTCCTTTCATAATTATTTATTATTTTTGACCTTTTCGCTAGCTTTATTTGTTTTCGCAATTCTATTCACTTATATATTTATTTATTAATTAGATATCGGGAATCGGAGTATTAATTCACTTCATTTATATTTTATTTAGTGATATTTATCACGCGGGTACTTTATAAATATGGGCCCCCTATTTACTTGGGTATTATACTACGTTTTCATAACATTCATTTCATTTTATTGGTACATTAACTTTTTTATCATACTATCTCAAGGTAGAACTGTACCTTGGGTTGTGCGCACAACCTTGAGGTCAACTTTTAAGTCATTTTAAAAGGACTCCAACAATTGTCACGAAG